TCCCATCGGACTATCATCCAATCTTAGCTAACTTAAAGAAAAAAATCTATTCATCTTGGAGATTTATCTAAATAAATTCTACCTTAAACTGCATATCTGCTATTTGCAATCTATTTTCTATTTTTACCTATGAATTCTTCTACTAACTTACAAAACTTGTGATTTAAAGCATAATAAGTACTTTTTTATATTAAATACCTAGGTGAGTCAATTTAGTGATTTACAACACACTCACAAGAAAATACACAATGAAAAAAAAAACAGCTCCGTTTTCTACAAAGTTCAAAACCCACGGTAGGAAAAACTCTTGGTAGCTCAAAAAATTAACAAGAGAAAAGAATAGAATGCCGCAATCACGATGTCTTCCAGCAACTTCAAAAAAATTAAAATAAAAAAAAAACAATCAATCCTTCTCAAAGTGAGAGAATGCATATGCCAAGAATGTAGCACCGCTGCAACACACTACCAATCGTGGAGCTCCTCAACTCAATACAAAGAAAGAAAAAAAAAAGAAAGAAACGAATATTGTATCTTAGCTGCACACACAACTGTAAAAGGAATATCAAAGCTGCTAGAGATCTCTATAGCAATGCAAAAACAAAAAGAGAGCAAATCAAGTTTAGAGTTTAGGGTTTAAGGGGCCGGACCCTTGTAGACGTCGATCCTTGAATCTAGTCTCATCCATCCGGATTTGAAGGATCAATTCCCACTAACATAATATATGCTTCGATACCTAAGAGAGCTTAATACTCGGATACAATATGTTGTCATATACCCAGTGTGCAATGGCCCCCATGTAGATATCGTATTTATATTCTACAAGATGTTATACCTTATATAGTCCCATATATCGTATTATATTATATATTCAACTTTTTATTTTGTCTTTTGTATATTGTATCTAGTGTTATATTTAGACATTATGTGGACCATAGAGACACCTTCCTTCAACTATATACATATCTTACAATATTAGAATTTTGGAATATTTTTAATAATATGTATAGAAACATGGGATGGCATTCTTTTTAATTTTTATGAATTCTATGCTAACTCAACTAAAAAAAAGGTTGTCATTCAAAAATTACTATTAGTATGTAATTAGGTAGTGTCATTAAGAACATGTATTATTTTAAATATAAATTACCATTGAGAAATATATATAATTTCTTTTCTTTTTTCTTTCATTTCAAGTGTCATTAAACATCAGATCATGCATTCATAGATTTCACAGAAAAATGAACAAATAAACAAATAAATGATTATAGATTAGTTTATACAATAGAAATAGAATACTTATAATAACTGAGGTAATTGCAATAATTGTATGGATATGAACAAATTTGTAGATCTCATCCTAGACTTTGTACTGCTAATAAATTTGTGAAAGAAATAAAAATAAATAAAACTACTAAATAAAGGTTATTATCCGAAAAATAATTAGAAAATTAATGAATTGTGCAAAAATATATTCCATTATACACTTTTGTGGTAAATATCAATATTTAAAAGAAAAAGCTTATATATACTTTTTAATAAAACTTTTTTATTCTGATTATTTCCTGTCCTTCCTTAAATAAAAAATTAAATATGAAAAATATATGTGAGTTTAATTTTTATTTACTTATAAAATTTTCAGATTTTGGTTAGTACAAGCAGATATGAAATTGACTTGTTTGAATCAAAAATAGGTATTGAAATGCTTTACTATGATTAAGATTGAGAAGTATAATAGGATGTGTTAAAATTCCAGGCATGCAAGATTAAAAATATATATATGACATTAAAAGAATTAAGAATATATATATATATATATATATATAGAGAGAGAGAGAGAGAGAGAGAGAATTTGTTTAATCAATAAATAATAAAATTATTTAAATATTAAAAAATTGTAAGATATTTAAATAAACATTAAAGATTAACAGGGTTTTTGGTTTGTATAGAATATAGTCATTTGTTATCTATTTATAAATATGCATGTTTTCTTCTTTTCTTTTCCTTTTAACTTAGTAATAAAACCAATTAAGGTTACAAATTCTAAAAAAAAACAAGTAAAAAAAATATAAACAATATAAACAATAAATATTGATTGTAAATATAAAATATATTTAACAGTAGAATTATATAAAATTGTATCGTTTGGTTGTTTTTAAAAGACGATTTTTCAAAGTCTTTCATGTGTTTTGTGGCACAAAAATAAAGGACCTTATACTACTTTTGATACCTTATAACTACATCACAAATGTTTCTATTAATATACTTATCACAACATTATACATGTGAATTATTAGTCTTAATTTATTTAGTATCTTAAAGTCATGTAATTTTTATACTAAAAATTAATAAACTAATATTACATCAAATTAGTAAAATGAAGATTTTAACTTAAAGAAGATAACCAAGAAAATTTATCATAAAACTGAAATTTTAACAATAAATTACTTGTATCAATTTGTATAAAGTTCCGATATAATTTTACGTTTTGGATGTGGATAAAATTCCCGTCACCATCCACCTTCTCGACACAATTCATATTATTAAATCACAAACAGTGTAAAAAGAGACAATAATCAACTGCATGAACCAAAATAAAAATATTAGTAATAATAGTAATAATAATTTACTGGAAGCCAATAAGCACGCGACCAGTTGTTAAATGTAACCCAATAATAAATAGTAAAGGGAAGCGGTCACCAGGGCAGGGCGCGGTATCTGCTCCCTTACCCTCTCCCCGGGCACGGTCATGGATCTCTTAACCCCATACCTGCGACCCACGAAGCTTCCCCCCCCTTTGCCCCCTCCCCCCCCCTTGGTCAAACACCTTGGCTGACTTCTTCCACACCGAAGACTCAATATCAGTGCTAATAAAAACACAAGTAAAAGTGGGACCTTTGGGGTGTGGGTGATCCCACTCTCACATTTTCCATGGCGAAGGTGCCGTCGATTGACTTTCGAAGGAAACAGAATCTCGTGTAGTTTATTGCCCATTTCTTGTCCATTAGTCCCCTCTCCTGCAGCTTCCGACGTAAATACCGACTTTTCTTAATTTAGAAATGTAAAGATGGCTCTTATATACGTTCTTTGCGCGACGTCACGAAGTAGGGCGATGCTTCGCAGTCGGACCCTCGCTGGGACGTATGTATAGATAGCGTTGTGGACCTTTCATTTGGCATGTGCTCACAAAGCTGTACTGTTGGGGTGTCTGGATAGGATCTGTAGACTTCGACAGGGAAGAAGAGTTTCACACTTTCTCAGCACGAGGGTATTGTATGGTGGTGGTGGTGATAGAGTTGGTTCACCGGGAGTTCGGTAGAGAGTTCGGTGAAGGATTTGCCCGTTCTTGAGAGGAGTGAAGAGTTTTGCTCGTTCGAAAAACATGTCAAGTCGAGGGAGGTCAGACGAGATGTCAGGTTCATCACCGAAAGCCACTGATGGTGTAGGGGTTAGTCCTACAACATCGAGCAACTATTTGAAACTGATTGAATTAGTGCGAGAATTGGCGAATTCCTCAGAATCGGACGAGGAGGAGAGCAGTAGTGGTGGTAGTCCTCGAGAAACCAGCAGCGGTGCCGTGAAGCTCATAGACCTGAGAGTAGCGGCGAGGGAGAAGATGGCCAAGGTCGGGGCTCGACTAAGCGAGAAAATAGCTCTCGTCACAACCGACCTGGCTCTGAATCTGCACCGGGTGATTCGCCATGAGCGCCGCCCCCGACACGACAAGTGTATAAACCACGTCGTGGAAACACAGACGGCGGCTACGGAGAAGAGGTTGCGGAAAGAGCAGGAGGCAAAGGAGAGGGCGGAGTGGCAGCGAGCCATGGCACGGGAGTGGAGTGCATACAAGGCATCCAGGACTCATAAGTCCCGCTCACACACACATCTGCATCATCACGAGAACCAGTCATGGCAACCCCAGTTGCTGCAAGGGTCCGCGTGAGATCCAAACCACCCAGAATTATCCACCACAACTTTCCTCTTTCTATCAACAAACCAACACTCATTCTTTCGTATAAATCTGCGAACCTTTGCTGGGGCTCCGGCGCTACAGTTTTCTCTGGGAAGCGCACTAAGTTCATGATCATGTCTTTTAAGTTTCGGCGATCCGATTCTGCGGTACTAGAATTCATGATCCTGTTTGTCTAGTTTCCACAATCTGTTATACAAGACTAGATTTTCGATGCCGCGACCAGTTCAAGTTTGGATTCTGGTGACTTGCAGATAGCGGAGCTCATTTTTGCACTTCTGTTACTAGCTTTTTGAGACTCATGTAATACATGAGCTAGAGTTGTATATTAATAGAGGTATGGAATGACCCATGAAGCCACATTGGATTGTAATTCCATTGAATTGGAATCCATGGATTCAGAATTGAAATGAATGATTATTATCAATTGACAACTGAGAATAGCATCAGTTTTGGATTTTTTCTGATGGTGCCGTGTGGTAGAAGTATGTAAGATGTCATCAAAAACTAAACAAAGAATCATAGAAACCTTGTAATGCAAGGAAACACGTTGGCCTTGCAATAATGTTTTAAATAATTTTAAATTAAAAATTTCTCTGTAATTTAAAATCAATGGTATCTTCCAAAAAATTGTTTGTGACCAGAATTGAAAGAATGTGTTTTGAAATTTAATATACTCAAATCAAATTAAAATATATATATATATATATATATATATATATATAACTTGGTTTTTTTTAGCAAGATTAAAAATGGTTATTTGAGTCGTGTGGTGCATGATTCACGTCACAAAGTATCTCTAAATTTCTTTTACAAATATCTATAAATATTCTTCATTTGCCAAGAAATGGTCTATTTTTGCACATATTTCTTCATTTGGCAAGTGGTCACTTTGCAATTGAAGAATCTATTACCAAGTTTGTAGATATTCTTTGAATATATATGAAAAAATGATCACTATTCGATTTTATTCAACTGCAATTTAAATTTATCTCTTAAAAGTTTTTACAGAATTCCAAAATTTATGAAATGTTTCACACAATCTTTGATAATTTTTCAATCTAATAAAAGTGGTGATTCTATATAAAAATCAAACATTCACTCATTATTTTTTTAAACATTGTTCAATTATTCACATATTACATCAAAACATATATCTAATGGCATCCATGTAAGACTCTTAATAAACTCTTAATAAGACTCTTAATAAATAAACTGCTTCTCTTTTCTCAATTAAATAATATATTGTTTGAAAAATTAGTAATAATATCGAAAATTATTAGTAAAAAAAAATGAAAAATTGAACTGACTGTTTTCTAAAGTAGTTGACTCCCATTGCAAATGTCCCTCTAAAGGAGCGAACCAGGACTCCTTCACAAATGAATGTGCCTCGCGGCACCCAGTGCGGCTCCTCAGGGCACCTCGCGTCTACCTGCGTCTCCGAAGCGTGCTGCAACTCCACGCTAGGACGCCGCCGCCGCATCCCGGCGATTCTTTGTTATCCCTGGAGCCCGACATGGATTCTCACCACGCCTGCTAATTTCACATCGATATCGCCGAGAAATTCGTCAGCATCACGCACTGACTCAACGAGGATTGGCATAGTTGGCTGCCATCCTGCATCTCGATTCACAGGGTCCGGTTCTATCAACATGGTTGCCAGTTTCATCAACTTGGGCAGAGTTTATTTCCTCACATAGTTATCGGTGAAGTGTTGATTGTAGTCTACTAGGGCTACCAGCAGTCGCAACGCAACAGATCAAGGTTTTCACATCTCACCCCCACCTTGCAAGTTATGGGGGAGTAGAGCGGCGGGTTGTGCCTGTGGGGACAGTGAGCGTGCAGTCTCATTCAGTGGGAAGTGCTGAAGAAACACAGATTTGGATCTAAGTGCAACCAGCTGGTTTCCACACAGATCTTAGTTGCCTTCTGATGGTGCCGTGTGGTAGAAGATAGTGTAAGATTCGCAAAGTTGCAATAGTATTCCATGGTGGGACTTTAAGCTCAATGGAAACTTCCCCGTCTACAGTTAATCGTAGATCCTGTGGCCTGCATGGTCGATGGTCGTCTTTTTCGACAAGAATGGCGGGACAGGGCAGATGGGGCAGTTCGTAGGAGGTGTGTAGCTGGATGTGTAGATTGATAGGCCTTTGAATAAGGTTTTCTGGGGACAGCTCTTGTACTCGTATGGGTGCTCGGACGGGCACCTCCACGGGTAGTGGTGAATGTATGTGGTTTGTTCCGGATGTGCAAATCTGCAACAAATCCGGAGAGTGCGTGTCTGTTGTTAGTTGGTAGCATGCATGCGTCTTCATTGGAATGAATCCAAACGCTTGAAATGTTCTGTGCGAGAATGGAACAAGGAGTTGTGACTTGTGGGAATCAGAGGGATTGTTCGATCACCTGAATGGCTTCTCATGGTCTGGTGGAGGTGGGTGGATAGGCCTCGGCACGTACTCATTTACATATTCGGTAGTTCCAGTCTTGCCGCCCTCGCAGAACGGAATTACTGACATTTTGAGGCGATCTGGTTGCTTCCATGCTGGCCACCTTGGGCAGTTGCGCGTCCCGCATGTGCAAATCGTGCACGTGCAAACTTTCCTTGAACCCTGCTGGAATGGGGGAGGCACATACACGACCATTGTGAATCTGGAGTGTGAGAATGGAGATGATTCATGATTGTATGTAGCCACACCATGACGCGGTGTCCGTGGGCCGAGGACGAATGAATGTACATGAGCAACTAGAAGCGACATTGCACATTATTCTCAAACTCTAAAAATCAAGCAAATGTTTCTAAACTCTCCTCTCAGGGAGACAAAAGAGTTCCAAATCCTGATCTGCTTGCTTCATTAACCTCCACCAAATGCATCGTTATACCTTTAATATCTTAATCCGCACCTCATACTCCTAATATCTTTAGAATAGGTCTGTTTGAAATGAAGATTCTTACCATTTATAAGTTTTTTTTTTTTTTTTTTTTTTTTTTTTTTGTTCGCAAATCCTGTGAAGGAGTAGGCAAGTGTGCAGAGATGAAGAGCTCAACGGTCGGCAGCAGATCATGACCTTGTTTTGGCAGGTGGAAGCATTTGGTGGAGATGTGGTAGAGTAACTAAGAGCTCGATGCCTGTCCTCAACGCATTTTGATCGAGAGGGTTGCGTGCTTTGTGGTCTGCAAGAGTAGATGCTGTATGATGTGTGCTTTCACTTACATCTCTGCAACTGTTCGAGAGAAGAAGATAGATTCTAGGGTACGTAACGTTACACATCCTTGACTTTCCAAGGAAAACGGCTTTTGAAATTTGGAGTTCGTCGCTACCCTCGTTGCTATCTTTCCCCTATTACTGCCTTTTGAGCTCCTGCAATGTCTTCTCACCAAAATCCGCAGAATACCTATATGAATTTGAAAGACAAGCATGAGAGTACAAATTACTTTTATGAGAACCCACAAAAGTCACCGCAACGTTCATCGCTACAGCCGAACTTGGTATCAGTATACGTGCTGTTAGGGTTTAGGGTGTTGCATAGTGTTCCCTACCAAAGATCACTTTTTCCCATTTTCAGCGTATCTCCCTTGTTTCCTGCAGAATTCTGTGTGTAATGCTTGAAACGAGTCGTGTGTGTGCTATTTTTGGCAGTTTTGTGAAGCATGTGATGGACACGGTGTGACTTGAGGACGGAGGCGACAAACCTCTTTGACGAGCCACTTGAATTTTGGACGATGATGTCTATGTGGTTTTAGCACAGGTTTTAGCAGGATATTCTGCCTTCGAGCTGAGGGCGAGGATTTACCTGTTTGACGCAGGAGTTGCAGTACAAGTTTATCGCAAATACCCAGTTCGAAAATCCTAATTAGGAAGCTTCTAGATCTAGAAGATTCTCATTTCGGTCACAATTGTATCAATCGTTTTTCTAGCTACAGTTGAGAGCCTCCTATCGTGCTCTTTGTTCCTTGATTGCTTGGAAATGTTGATCAGAGAAGGTCTACTCTGTCTGTGAAGTTTCAGGACTCGCTATGGCTCTCCATACAGTAGGTCAAATGAGTTTGGATGGAGCTTGGAAGAGCTCTATCACTGCGTGGCCTGGATCCAGCACCATTTCCTCGAAGACTTTGAAAGTGGGCTTCCCTCGACAGGTTTCTTCCTCTTCCACACCCACACCCACAGGTTTTCGATTATCGTGTGTCGAGGGTAAGTTTGTTTAAGGCAGTCGTAGCATTTGAAGGCTCGGAGTTGAGATCTCATGGTTGCTTGGTTGATTTTTTTGGAAAAACAGTGGGGTTCAGGTTTTCAGAGGCTTAACATACGGTGTGCACGAATTGAAGGAGTTGAGTTGCCAAACAAGAAGCGCATTGAGACAGCGCTGCAGTCTATCCACGGAGTAGGGAAAACAACGGCGCGGCAAATCTTGCTAACCATAGGACTGGAGAATAAGGTCACATCGGAGCTGTCTGAATTGGAGCTTACAAAAATCCGTGAGGAGCTTTCGAACTACATGATCGAGGGAAAATTGGTCAGTCCTTCAACACTATTTATTTTATTTTATTTATTATTTCTCATCTCAAGAAAAAATTGGTTGGATTATCGGTGCTTCCCTGCAAGTTTCGCTTCTTCTTCTTCTTCTTCTTCTTTTTGCATGCCCTAAAATACAGTGCAATCCTTTCTATGCTTGTAGCGACGATTCAATGCATTAAATATACAGCGATTGGTTGACATTCAATGCTACCGAGGGCGACGACACCGTGCCGGGTTACCTGTCAGAGGACAAAGAACCAAATGCAACGCACGAACAAGGAAGAGGGCCGTCTTAGGGAAGAAGAGGGTCGTTGCTGGGAAGAAAAAGACTACTAAAAGATGAGTGATCAGAGGAGCTACCTGCCATGTATGATTTACACTAGCGTTTGCTCGTGTTGGTGACAAGGCCGCCACTGCTTTTGGCTTCCGAACAGGTGCACTTTTCGATGTAAATAACATGCCCATATTTCTTAAGCGGTGTCACAAAGGTTCTGGATTATTGGAGATTGCTGGTTTTAGAGGTTAATCGTTATGGACAGGAATGGCATGCAGACTAAAATATGCAACAGTTGACCCTTTGAGCTTATGAAACCATGCCAGCTAACAGTTCATGGAAGGTTGATAGATCGTAGTCTAGGGCAGTTCCTCGAGTCTTAGCTAAAGTATACGCGAGCAATAAAAAAATTCAGTAATGTCAGCATTTTCATTTTTAGTTGCATTACTTAGATGAAGACGATGACCCAATATTGGGAACAGGAAATGGATATAATGAAGCACAAGAGTGGCGACAACAATCTAGGGTCTTGACTCCAGGACCTTGAACAATTCCTGAGAATTTTGATAACTCTTTAGACACTCTTTAGCCAAGGCTAAAATTTAGTTGAAGTGAGTTTTAGTACAGATCTTACAGATGTGGGTGTTGAGGCCCCTGTCTCATCAATGCAAGCTATAAGCTGACAGTTGATCCGTTTGATGGATGTCATTTTTGCATCAGCTTAGTAATCATGCATATTAGCTACACCAGCATTGGAGCTTCCATCATAGTTGATATCTCAAACCTTCTATTCTATGGTACTCTGTTTTCATATTATCTTTAACCTTTTTATTTTCTTGTTGTAGCATTATCTATCACTCTCACTATCTCTACCATCACTCTAACCTAATTTCAACCAACTTCCAAACTCATAACCAACTTCCATAACCAACTCCCATAACCTACAACTTTAACCTGCAGCTAAAGTACATCAATAGGAATGCTTTCATAACTTTGACAGACTTGGTGTATCAAATCAGGCTTCTTCTGGTGGCAAACTTTTGTCCATGTTTCACCATATGGAAATGACATAAATGTTATTTGTGACCACCAGAGTGTAAAGAAGAACAGGCATGTTGCTCGTTGGCTAAATCCCTTGAAAACTCTATGTGAGCTCTTTAGATTCTACATGTGGGATTATGCACTCAACCATTTATGTGAATATTTTACATGAATATTGTACACCCATAATCTGGAATACCTCAGAATGTGATAGTTCATTGGCTAGAGCATGTAATTGCCACTTATCCAACCTTTGCAAAGGTGCTGGATCATTTTTTAATACAAAATGGAGTGGTGTCTATCACAATATGAAAGCTGTTTGACAAAGGTTCTTGCTGTGTTGTGACTCTTGATCTTTTGGGCATGTCAAAATGTTCTGTAAGTTCTATGTTGTATTCAAGCTGTTCACATAGTCAAAAGTGTTTGGAGGATAACATTCAGGCCCACACTTGTTAAGGGCTGATAGGGAGTTGAGGAACAAATATCAGAGGAATGTATTCAAATTATATTATCATAGAAATGCTCTAATAAAAAACACAGAAACCAGTTTGTCATCCATGTCAAGGAAACATTGGAATTCAAAGAAATAGAAATACAACTATAAATTGCATTCCAATGTATCTATCACTCAAGAATTTTCCTATAATTGCATTATCAAGTTGAATCTTCTTCAGGAAGAAAAAAAATTGTCACAAAATAAGAATTTGTCTTCTAACCATGGAGGTCAAAGAACTGAACTGTAACTGTAATTTTGACGTACTGATTTCACAATAATATATAATACATATTCATCCATGGTTGCCCGTCTCGCAAGCTATTGACCAGCCACGAGGGCCGCGCGCCGTCTCGACGGTTACAAAGAACGACGGATCAGAGTTTTTGAGAGAGACGTGGTGCATTGTGTACAAATCACAACACGCTCAAGAGGACCGTGACGATTGTTTTGGAGACTACTTTTATTGGTCTTGAGTAATTTCTTCTTCTTCTTCTTCCCCCTTTTGTTTTTATTTTATTTTAATTTTGTTTTAATTTTGTTTTAATTTTGTTTTTTGTCAACTCGTGGACAGTCTACGGTAAAAATCCCACCTTGTTAGCAACTTAGTACAACTATTCTCACCCATTGTCATAACACTTAGTGTTGCCGAAACTGGGCACCATTGCTGTTCACCGACGAGTTTCCCCATCATCGATGAGTTCTCTGACAAGGTAAAGGCAAGATAATGCAGACGTATAACTGAGTGTGGACTTCACTATGCTCGCACCGTTGCATGATCGGTGCCTGTAGACCTGCGGCTGCTGGAAAACAACTTCTGGTGTTGGGTCGTTGTGAAGACGGGTAGGACTGACCTGGAGAACAGAGTCCCGATTTTCTTGGTCTATATCAGCCTCACAACTGGATCGAGTGCTGTAAAAAGTGCGTTAGATCGGGTTTTGCATCCGTGCGTGTCAGCTCTGGTGTGTCCCCGCTAACAGACAAACTGTTTCAAGTTCGAACAAGTTGGTGACGCATTCTTGAGCTCGCCACGTGCAGTGGTGTGGAGCCTTTCTACATTCTGTTACGATGTCAGAAAATCACTGCAGCGTATAAGTACTCAAATATGTGAGGGTCAGGTTTAAGAAGCACAGCCGAATAGCTCATGCATGTGGCTTCTTTGCAGTCTCGATCGTGATGTTGGTGAAGTTTGATACTCTTTTCTAAAGAAGTGGTTCTCAACACAGGTGCACCAGGAAGTAGGTCTGATTAGAGCCTTTCTTGTAAAACATAGTGTCAACCGTAAAACATAGAGGGTGATGGTTTCCTCCTCTCTGTTATTAGTCCGCATACTCAGAAGTCAGAAAGAACTTGTTCGTTATATTGCATGACTAGGATTTACATCTGCAAGTCTTAGGAATCGATTCCTTACCGCCAGACTGGATCAGTGGGGAGTGGAGCTTGCGGAGGGAGTTTAAATCGCTGAGAATGAGCAACTGAGCACGAGTCATTGCAAAGCAGGAAAGAGTGTCTCGATTACAACCATGCCAACGGCACAGGCAGCAACGAGAATGGTGAGAATCATAAAGCACTTCAACAAAACTGAAAATCTTAAAATTGTTATGCCCGCATCCACTTACGTAGTTGAATTTCAATATGCGGGCAGTGTACCAACGAGGTACTGGCGATTTGATTGCCTTGTAGATGCTGAAGGTTTGTAAGGGCATGAAGGAACCAGAGCTTCACCTCAGCTATTTCAAACTCTCAGATTTATAGAATTGGTCCACACGTCTGTAGAGGCTCTTAATGCTTCAAGGGTGTATGCATTTCGCACTCTGGTTATCTAATTTTCCTGCACACTGAAACATCACTCTAGCTCTAACGCAGTGTAAGAGACTCAGATACTCTCCGGCGAAAGGTGCCCTGATGGATAGTAAATAGCTAGCCTTGGACTAGTCCAGTGAATCATCCGCTACGTCAAAAATTTTATTTTCATTTTCATGTTTTTATTATTAACGTGACTTTTTCGCCCACTGCAGCCTAACAATAGTGACCGAGGGTATGAGCACCTGCGGTCAAAAAGTTTGCCAATGTACGGCGGTGGTCGATGGGGTACGATAGTCAAACCACAAGCCGAATCACACGAATACAACCAGATGTCAAACACCATAACACCAGCTCATAAGTACATACCCGCGCCAGTGGGTTGCTCAGAATGCGAAAAGTTCTGGAAAGCACTTATCCTCGAGATTGAGGAAAAACACACGAGCAAGGCACCTGAAGGGAAAGCATCACTGAGACTAGTCAAAGGGATCGCTCGCAGCGAACTCCGAGTCAAGCCCTCAAAGCACGTAACATCAGAGAGAGGATTCTTTTCAGGACTAGGTTGTATCAATTCCAATGTCCACGGAGATTCTTTCACTTCGATGGTTGGATCAATATTCAACTTGTGTCAACCGCGTCCATCTGGCACGGGAAAAACCAATTCGGATTCGACCTTAGCCAACAGAGGTAGATGTCGTGAATTCCCGAAGGCAAAGCTAAACGTGACAACGATGAGGACCAGTCCTACGGTTCCAGCATATGGTGATCCATCGAATGTTCGGCCATTTGTGTTCCAGTCTAGCGCGTGCGTTGTGCCAAAACAGGTTGGATTGGATAGGACTGAAGCATATAACGGCGTGAGATCCACTCCTCCGCAGAGAGATGATGGAGACAGATTCTATCCTGAGCCTCCTACATCGTGCCTCAGCAGCTGTGTCCGAAACCGTAGCCGTCATTTATCGATGCCAACCATGATATCGACATCAAGCCAACTACATGCGAAAGGCGATCGCCAGGATATGTATCAAGGACTGAAGCAGGCAGGAAAGAACTTCAAACCTATCCTCAGACGCTTTCATTGTAATCGTCAAATGGATGAAGCACGAAGCAATCCATCAACGCCACCACAATACGCCACAATTTACAATGAGGACTTCGAGACCAGTCGATTGAAGCCTTTCCCACCTTCGTCATCAAGTTCTCATGCACAAGGCCACAACAGAGCTCAACCGCGGAAGATCTTGAGCCCCTCAACTACGCCGGGGATGTTCCATCCTTCGCCGAAGGAGAAATCAATATCACAAACGCCACGAGCTTCTGGGTTGCAGCAGATGGGTGCGGAGGGTTATTCGTATCACTGTTCCCCTCAAACGTCACTAGAGACCTCAAGCTCGAGATGGAGACGAGATCCACGGATTCTCGACGAGGTCCACAGCAAATTGCCTAATTCAAGCGCAACCCACACTTTGTCACAGTCAGGTCACACCTATGCAGTCGATGTGGCAGCCTCAAAGCACGGCCCTTCGCATCAAGATGTATCCGTGAACTCTACGCCCTCAAGCAACCACTCCACGCAGGAAGCAAGTCATGACGACATCCCAGGCTTTTCCTCTGCGACAACACTGAGTCCCGTGTCTACAACAGAGAGTGGATACACATCCTTGAGCTTCTCGACATCGAACTACTCCTCCTCCTCCGCTTCCTCAACTCCCAGGGGAGATAACCAGGGCTCTCGAACTTCAACCCCAGGGTCGAAGACGGACAGACCCAACTACATAAGTTTTCAAGCCTGGGAGCCAGCGTCAAGCGCAGACAGCGACAGAGACGTGGAACTGATTCTACCGACAAGCTCGTGGAACGTGAAGGTTCCGCACCGTAGAATCAACGTGAATCGCTCTGCAACGTCCACACCGGCCATGTTGACACCGCTTGTACTCTTCACGGGCCATGGCTGCCGATCTGAGACGGACGACGACTGGGAAGACGAGGAGGACTCCGACGATGATGCGATCACAAAATCCTGAAGGCTTCAAACTCGTCGTCTCCAACGGGACCTGTCGCGAGCACGTCTTCAGTCCACGAAAGCCCTCTCTCGGATCCCAAGTTTACGAAGACTTCCTCTTGGATCCCTGGTTTGCTGCTTCGGTGGACGTTGCGTTATCTTAGTCTACGCTTTGTTTTAGCAACAGTCCAAAACAGATTGTGAATTTCTTTTATATATTTTTTTCTTTTCTGAGGGGTGGGTTTTCTTATGTTGTGAAGATTGAGTTCTGCACAAATCATGTTTCCAATGTTTATAAGTGGATTTAATAATATATGTTCAATCATCAAAAAATAAAAATAAAAATAAAAAATCGATAAAACAAAGACTAATGTGCAGTCATGGAAACTCTTGCATGATAAAAAGTGTTGATTGCAACCAAAAGGATCTTTTTGTACTTTTTTTTTTTTTTTTTTTTTTTTTTTTTGTAGACCTAGTGTCATTATCTGCTTCAGAAAGTTTTACCAAAAGCTGATAAAAAAAAAAAAAAAAAAAAAAAAAAAAAAAAAGACCAGACTAGATGTTTTTTAAAGAAAGTTTCAGTTGTGTGCTGAATGCTAGTGGGATTCTTTTTTGTACATAAGTGTTTAAGTAATTTAATCTAGTTACATTTTTGTTTGGACTACATGCAGAAGATCTTGTTTTGGTATTGAAATTATAATTCAAATTCAATAATAAGTTTAACGTATATTTCAACAATGTTAACAATGCATTCAAAAATACTTTTGACTTATTTTGAATGCAATTGTACATGAGTTGCAATTTTATAGATTAGTTTTTTGAATTTTTGAATGCTTTTTTACTATACTGGCTATTGAGATTTATACTAGTTTGAAGCAATGGATATTTATTAACAATTTTTTTTTTTTATTTTAATGTAGCACAGTAGCACAGTAGCAGAATTTAGCTTCTAAAACAGTAAATTTATTATATAACATGGTCATCATGATGGTTTGAATAAAAAAACTTAACAAAATTGATATCAATTTTTTAAAGTTATTGCTTCAAAAATGTTAATTTGGATATTCTAACATCATTAAATTTATAATTTTTTTAATATTAGGATAAATTTAACAAAAAAGAGGGATATTTTGATAAAATCTATTCTTTATTAAAACTTATGTGGCATGATTTTTATGTAAAAAATATTTATAAAGAAGCTATTTTTACTCTGGTATAAATGTATATATTTTTACATTAATCAAATGAAATTTGTGGGGTCTTAAAAAACTTGGGTAATAAATGTTTGATTTTTATTATATGCAATAAATTACAAAGTGGCCCTTCAGACTTAAAGTTTTTCCTATGACATAACAATTTCAATAATATGTTCTTAGCTATCCTTAATGGTTTTACAATCTTATCTTAGATGTAAATAAATAAACTACATAATATCATATATAATTGGTTTAATTTAATTTAATTTAATTTATTTTCGTATTTCTGTGTTTCTAAAATCTTGCATACAATGGTGTTAACAAAAACTAGTAGAAATAATGATGTAATAACAAATTATAAGCTATGAAATATACTTGATAGTAAATCTTGTAGATTCGACACATTTCATAATCTTTGGTATAATGATTTTACAAGAAATGGTATGTCAAGAATATTAAAATTGACCAATTGAAGTAAGTTTAATTAAATATATAGATGCTGGCATTATTGGATATATTTAAGGTTGTGAGGAAAAAATAAAAAGCTAATTCAAAGTAATAGTGTTTAAAAGGTACTGTAAAAATAAATCTTATTTTTAAATCTATAATTAATTTCTAATTTTAAGATAGAAAAAAATTATGGTTACCACAAAAAAAAAATCTATAAAAATAAATAATTATGTATATGTATATGTATATATATATATATATGTAAAGGATATAAATCTTACTAAAAAAAATACTGAGAGGTTTTGAATTAAACAACAAGTTCCAATATAGATAATATAAAGAAAAGCAATGTTTGATATTACTTGATGTACTTGTACAAAAATATTTTATTTTACTAAAATAACTTAAAAATTAATATCTATTGATATATTATAGATGTATTTATATTTATGTTTTTTATAATAAATTCCTATAATAATGTAATTGTTATAGTATATGTTGTTCTTGAAAGGTAATAGGGCTGGCTTAGAGTCCAACAAAAGTACAGGTTTTGAATATCTTGGATACATAAACATTTCATCTATAAATTTATATTCTTAAGCAAAAAAAGATACAATATTTTTGCATACATGTTGTAAAATAACATTCAAAGCATATTTCAAATCATTCTCATTTGCTTCACTTTTATTTTTTATTTTTATTTTTCAATAATTTTTTTCTAAAATATAATATTATAATAAATGAAATATTTAATAAATTGAATTAATTTTTATTTATTTATTTATATATAATATATTATCTCCATTGAAATTTTGAAAATTTGAAAATATAAACAATTGTGCAATACATGTTTTTATATGTACTTTTCATTCATAGAATTTAATGTGATAAGAATTATTATATACCTTGAAATCAAAAATAATCACCGATGCTGCAATGTATTTAATTCTTTCTTTTCATCAATTATATTTATGTATATATGTATATATTCACATAAGAATTGTTCAAAAGTAGCATGTAGAAACCAAAGACGCAATCACCTGCACACAATAATTGGTCCTAGTATCTTAAAAAACCAAAATGTGGTAATAGAATTTAGCCCTTAAACGATATGGGTGAAGCCCTTGTAATTTAAATTATATCATTTGAAGTAACTCTTCTGCTCGCTCAAACATAAATACAAAGCGTCTAGACCCTGACATGCAGCATTTGAGTACCACCACTTGACAGGAATTAGGACGTAGTCACAGTAACATTGACTTCTTACTAAGTGCCAGTCCAGGGTAGGTATAAATAGTAAAAATGATTCAACCTTGTCATTCCATTAGCCTCCATGGCTTAGTGGTAGAGCGTTCCCTTCGTAAGGGAAAAGTTGTGAGTTGGATCCTCACTGGGGGCAACACAGCGGTATCTTCTAAGGATCCGTCGGACTCACTCAGTAGATTGACTGACTCTCTGGGCTCACTTCTATCTGTCGATTTTGTGATTTGTTATAAATTCGATTATTCTTAATACTTCTTGGGCGTTATAATTGTATGTAAAATATATTTATAATAATTTGGTTTGCAATTCATGTGTAAGCATGCTTAACATAATATTTGACGCACCAGTCATATATATATATATATATATATATGTGTGATTGTGTGTATGTATGTATATAATTGAAATGTATTAAAATAATGATACTTTTTCAAAGCATGATGCAATCAAAATCCTTTTTGATCGATATCATCTGTTGTTGCATGAAAATAATATTAATTTATTAAAAGTGGTGCACTCAAAGTTGGATGAGACTTATTCTGGCCAAGGCCCCACAATCTTGGTTGCTCATTTCCACCCTATATAACAGAGTCAGATCCAAAAAAATTATTTAACTAGAAGGGTTATTAGTTTTAGGGGATTAATAATCGGGGTAACACTGTACTGAGATTAGTATTGCATAAATAATTAAACTTCCTTCTTTTTTGACAAAATGACAAAAAACCTACGTTTTCTTCCATGCACCGTTGCCCGGCCGAAGGCGACGAGCGTCAGCCCTTCGCGGTCACAGAGGATTCCTGCTTCAACCGGAATCGTTGCGGAGCAGACAACGCCGGTGATTTCGATGCGGACTTCTAGTTGGAGACCGATGCGGATGCCAGCTGTTTTGAGCATTCGGAAGTGCCGTTGATTCGTGCAAAGACAACGAGACAACTGGAGATAAAGTCACTAAGCTGCTTGTCATCGCTGCATGCTCCAACATTGTAAACTCACCAATGCGCCTGAGCGTTTTGACGATGGATCCGAGCCCACGTCCCAGCTGCGTTTGATTCGTGTGTCTCATGTATATTCCTAATGTCACAGTTCGGCTGCCCTCATGCATGTTCTCAACCCTCTGCGGATTCTCCCTCTTGTGTCCAGACGAGTGGAGGACCTGCGCTTCGCGTGTCTTTGGTCTGCCGAGTTGGTGCCGTGGTGTTGTTGGCTCCGCGTTGGACTGGAAATTCGACTTGAGGTTGAGGTTGAGGATCGGATGGCGCATCATCATTTTGTGCTCATTCATGGTGGTTGCTATGGTGCATGGGCCTGGTGCAAGCTAGAAGATTGTCTCCAGAGGAAGGGCTGCAAAGTGACAGCCCTAGACATGACCGGCGCTGGCATCCACCCTGCCGACCCTGACTCCATTACCACGTACGAGGAGTATCACCAACCTGCGCTAATTTTCTTTGAATCTGTTCCTGAGGGCAACCTTGACAAGGTTAAAATTTCTTCTTTAGCTGCGAGATTGTTTTGTGTATACGCATGTCGTCAACTTTGCAAAAATGTGGACGTAGTGTTCAAATGATCCGCGGCCAGCGGAGTTCCGATGACTGAAGATACAATTCTTATGGAATTGGTGTGTCTTGTTCAATTTTTTTTAAAATTAATTAATTAATTGATTTATTTTTGTAATTCATTAGAATTCAAGAGAGAATGCAATTCAACGAACGCGGCGTAAAACTTGTAGACTTAGACAACTTCTTGATGCAGTAACATTCTCTACCTGAATGGAAAAGAATGCTCGTGCAGATGAGTAAGGCTCCTGCACCGTTTTGCAAAAGAATCACGTTTAACTTCAAAAATGGAATCGAGAATGCTCCCACGTCTTTCTATTATCCAACTTCTGAGTTGAGAGATGTATTTTATGGCGATTGTGATTCACAGGTAAATTTGGACTCCCTTCAACTTTCTGCTGCGCGCACTGAGCTCAGAATTTGGACACATGCTTCTAATGCCTTTGATAGTCTTCAAATTGTAGTCTCAGCGGATGAACAAGGCGTCAATCTCCTACGGATTTATCGCAGCGACGCTGCAAAGCGATATCGCCATGCGTGAAATTTTTAGAACCGCGAACACAATCACAACATTCTGACGTCTTGCAGGATATTGTGTTGGCTTCAAAACTGGTGAGGCCGTATCCGAACCGAATGTTGGCGACGCCGATTACATACACCCAAGAAAGGCATGGGCAGGTGCCGGCTGTATATATCAAGTACTCTCAAGACAACGCGTTTCCTCCACAAGCACAAGAGTACATGGTGAGCCATTACGGGCCCTTTCAAGAGGTAATAGAGCTTGAGGGAAGTCACTTCAACTTCTGGGCAAGAGTGGATGATTTCACGACCCTGATTGTGAGCCTTGCCAACAAGTACACAACGCAAACCAGTAGTCCGGTCTATCACGCCACAACACAGGTCACTTGACGCACAGGTTCTCAATGCTTCGGCATTACTGAACACCTTTCAAGGTTTTAGGGCTTCGTCAAGAATGAAAACTTTACGATCAATCTGAGCAGAATTCTTAAATTCGTAGACGATGCAATTTTGTTTCAACGTTGGGAGAAAGGGAGTGATTTGAAGTTGTTACTTCACTGAAAACCAACTGTCATTTGTGTTATTGGAATCTTGGTTAATAGCGACACTATACGTAAAAGTTGCTTGATACACTGCCAGGATTACTATCCATCGGAATCTTTCCTTATTTGAAACTTTTAGCCTGATATGGTCTATAAAGGACGCGATTATTCTATTCAAAACCTCTAAACTAGCTACAGCCTCCATCACAAGCAGTTCGAGAGCTCACAACCCGGAGATGGACCTAGAAACCAGATGTAGGATACAAGTAGAGTGACACCGCTGAAGTTCATCTAAGCCGTTTGGCCCCGAAAGATTGTATTTCAGCACTAGGTTGCCTTCTGTGTCGACACATCCGCAACAATCTGTATTTCACCGACGAGCTTCATTTTTCAATCTTTGTTACTTTTCCACGTGCTACAACTAAAAAACAAACAATTATACGTCCAGTATGCGCGCTTGTTCCAAATGCACGAGTGAAGAATTTCAGTCAGCCGTATTGGGATATACATGACCCAAATACCTCCCGAAAGAGTGTACGTAACTGAGACCAGGAAGCCTAGAAGTCATGGAATTGTGGAGCTCATGGTCTACATGGACAAATCCTCTCAAAATTGAGATGATGCTGCGGTGACTCGACGAATCGATGAGAGTTGCTACCGATCCAGGTCTTTTGGACTTGGTCAGGATGGTCTGCTTCAAAAACACGATCCATTTCTTCGAAGAAATATGCTTACTGAGAGCATTGAATGCGAGTCAGACGGATTAATCCAACGCGCTCATTTCTTTGCTTTTTCTAATAAAGTATTAATGAAGTATGATATGGTTTGTTTGAGCATGTAATACTAAGTTGTAAACAAATCAAAGGCATAATTGATTATTGCTATAGATATGTGTTAGATTAGTAGAACAAATATTTGACTCTTGCATTAGTTGCCAAAGATAAATAATGTCTTTTGTAACTCCTTTGAGTATTCTATATTCATTCTCTATTGTCAAGAATGCAATAGTGTTATGTAAAAACTATCCTAAGAATGCACTAGGCATTTGATTGTGGAAGGATTTGATTTTACATTGTAATTTGATTTACAACTCCAAATAATACATAATGAATTTAGAAACACTCTTTGGTAACCTTAAACAACCTAAGTAAGTTTCCAATTATCCTACATACATTGTATTAATCTTAGAAAAATCCAACTTATATCTTATCACACTCTAATCAATTATAAATAAATCCAAAATAATCTCAACAAAATTTAATCAATTTTTTATCAAATCCTAATTAAATCTTATTAATTCCTAATAATATCATATTCAAATCTTGATCAAATTCTAATCAAATCCTAACCAAATCTTAATAAAATTCTAAAAGAATCCTAATCAAATCCTAATGAAATTCTAAAGAGATCCTAATGAAATCTAATGAAATCTTAATAAAATCCTAAAGGAATTTTAATTAAATTCTAATTAAAATATAAGAAAACTTGAATCAAATCCTATAGTAGATTCAAAACTTCAATAAATAATAATGCAACAATTGATCTTGACTCAAATTTGCACATTGTTCATTTGCTATCAAAATATGCATAATTGTTGGAAATCAAGTTTACTACTTGTGCCCCAAATTTTACTTCAATCCAATTGGCGGATTGATATAAATCTTAGAAATCATCACTAGCTCTTAAAACTCCAATTTTCAAGATTCCAATCCACTTCAATTTCAATTAACTTTATTTTAACTATTTGATTAAGCTCAAATTTACAACATATATTGAACACAATTATAATCACAAATCTACAAATTTTTATCCATAGATTCAATACAAATCTCATGAAATGCTTTAAAATATAAATCTTTTTTGTTTTACAAAAACTAGAGTCATTCCAAAACTACCCTAATTTTGCAAAGCTCTTACTAAATCATTACAATCTTAAATCACTCAAAACCAATGTCTAAAGAATCTCTTTCTTATCTACTCTAAAACTCCATTTTCCAATAAACAAAAGAACTCCAGATTTGTCACAAGGATATGATTTTGTGTCTTGGAATCTGATTTTGACCTAGGCTCATAACTAATCTTCTAAAAATATTAATATTTATTTTTTCGGGGTAAGTTTTTCTAGAATCTTTTATCTTAAGATGCCCATGATACTAATTTTTCTATTCTATCTTTTTTTTGTCTTGTTTATGGCTCTACAAAGCGATCAGAAATTCATTTTGCAATAAGGAAATATTACCACTGATTGGTTTTACTACCTCATTAACTTTTATCTTTATTTCTAAGGTAATTTTTTACTATATTTTAAAACAAGATCTTTAATAATATAATATTTTCTTTTCTTTTCTCTTTCACCTATTAGTCATTGTCATATTACGTGTTATCTTACATGAAAATGCACCACATACTTTAATGTGGAACATAAATTAGAAATTACAACAACAAAGATTCATATAATTCTAATAGAATCCTAAATAAAACTTGATTAAATCTTATTAATATTAAATAAATCTAAAAGAAATTATAAAAAAGAATCATAAAGAAATTATAAAAGAAATTAAATGAATTTTTAAAAAAGCATAAATAATTTTTAAAAATATTTAAAAAAATCCTAAAAATTATCAAAAATAGAAATCTTAAATAAATCCTAATCAAATCTTAATATAGTCTTAGGAAAATGCTAATTAAATATTAAATAAATTCTAATAAAATACCAATAATAGCCTATATAAATCCTAAATTAATCTTAAATAAATCTTAATCAAATTCCTAAAGTAGTCTTAAAATTCTACTAATTAATAATTGAATTTTTGATTTTAACTAAAATATTTTTCATATTTCAATCTTTAAGCAAAAAGAAAGGACAAAAAATAAAATTAAAAATTAAAAATTATCAATTGAAAAAAAAGAACTTTCAATACTCTTAGATGTTTATCATCTTTTTTCTTCAACCTAGATGTTAATCTTTCAGTCGCAATTATTTCTTGTAAAATATTTAATTGCTCTCTAAATTGGCATGAATATAGAAACCCAAGTCTACTATGGTTTCACAAAATTTTGCTTCAATCAAACTAGCATATTTTTCAATATCACAAAAAATCTCATTAATCCTAAAATTCTAAAATCTAAGACTCTAATCCAATCAAATTTCTATATTCTTCAATCTAATTGTTCAATTAATTCTAAATTTGTTAGATATATTTGAAAAAAGCATATTTATAAATCCAAAAAATTTCATCCATATACCTAAATTAATACTCACACATTCCTTAAATATATAAGCATCTTTTTATTTCTCAAAATCCAAAATCTTTGAAAAAATCTCTTATTTTGAAAAGCCTTAAGAAACTCAATACCTATCCAAATCTCTTGAAATTAATATTTATACAAAGTTCATAAAATTTTCTCTGTTATCTCAATCTCTAATGTGAAAAATAATTCCATAAATTGTTGTAGGTGCAGGGTTTTTTGACTTAGGATTTAATCCATTGTTGTTATATTGTAATACCACTATATGATAAAAGATAAAAATATGGATCCTATCATAGAAGAGTCTAATTAAAAAATATAATAGCAAAATATAAATAAAAGATAAGGTGGTAGTAAAAACTTATAGTATTAATGCTATCTTTAAAATAAAAAATAAAAATAAAAATAAAAAAACTTCTACTTACTTGTACAACTATAAATAAACATATAAATTATAAATAAATTCCATATAAATCCTAACCAAATCTTGATGTAGCCTTAATCAAACTTTAATGAAACTCTAATAATCTTAAATAAATCCTAATAAAGTCCTAACCAAATCCTATTTAAATCCTAGACCAAATTCTAATCAAATTCTAAATAATCCAAAAAAATCCTAAATAAATCTTAATCACTTCCTAAAGTTATTTTAAAATATCAATAAGTTAAAATCAATCTATTTATATTGACTAAAATTTCACTCATATTTCAATCTACAAGCAATTAATAAGCACATAAAATTTGAGGACAATCAAACTCACCAATTGAAAGAAAAGTTTCCAAATCCACTTGAATATTGGCTGCCCTTCTTCTTCAATTTGAATGTTGATCTTTCAATAGTGTTTTCTCCTTATTGAATTATTAAATTGCTTCAAAAATTCGCTGGTGTATAGATTTCTAAGTCTAAATTGCTTTCACAAATTTGTGTTTCAATCAAATTAGCGGATATTGAAAGATTACAAAAACCAAGAATCGACAAATCTAAGATTTCAATTATCTAAGTCCATTATCTACAAAAATTCTCATAACTATCAATCTAATTGTTCAATTAACATCAAATTTTTTAAAACATTTAAGAAAAATATAATTATAGACTAAAAAAATTTTGCATATAAATATTCTATGAAATTCAAAAAATCCTCAAATTTGTGAACTTCTTTTTATTTCTCAAAATCCAAATCCATTGAATACATCTCTAACTTTGAAAATCCTTCAAAACCTCAATATGCTTTTAAATCATATAATAATTTTTTTAAAACTTTTTACAAGTCTATTATCAAAACTCACTCTTTGATCAACCATAGAACCCCAGAGTCACCGTAGGTGCATGGTTTTGTGCCTTGGAGTTTGATTTTTACCTTGGTTTATAATAGGTCTTCTCGAGGCATCAATTCTTTATATTTCGAAGTGTTTTTTGCTAAAACCTATTCTTAATTCCTTCTTAAAAATACCTATATCAATTATTTATCTTATTTACTTTTATTTGGTTCATTTATGCCCTTAGAAAGTTAATAGAAGTTTTTTCTTCAAAAAAGAAATAATAGCATTTATTAATTTATAATACCTCCTTACCTATTATCTATATATCTAAAATAATTTTCTAAAGTATTTTTATTTAAGCTCCTCTATAATATAATCTTTTCTTTCTTCTTTCATCATATAGTTGTATTATCACATAATAAAGGTAGTTACAAACTTATAAAATATTCAAAATATGGACTTCTTTCTAACTAAATCTCTTGCAAAATCAACATTACATAGTTTAAGTATTTTGGTTTTTTTAACTTATTTTTTGTAAAAAAATATAAACCATGAATGAAATTTCTTTTCAAATATTTTAAAACATGTATGATTGGCTTAAGTTGAATGTTATGAAGTTATGCATTGAATTAGGTAATATTGCAAACAATTAATGAAATGTCAAATCTTGTGTTTGTTGCTTGCAAATGATATCCTATCATTTTTTAGTAAAGTTTTCATCACAATATGGATTTTTTGTATTCTTTTATAGAACTAAACCTAAATTTTTAGGGATTTTAATTGTTGTACAATCCTCTATTTCAAAATACTTCAATAATTGCAAAATTTAAAGATGTTGATGCAACAATAGTTCCTTATTTTTTTGCATAATCTTTGCTTTAAGATGAAGTTGAGTTAGACCTAAGTTGATTATTTTAAATTCTTTTATAAATTGTATTATTATTCTATTAATTTTTTCCAAACAATCTCCAATCAATAATAAATCATTAATATATAACAATAGCATAACATATTTTCTTTTATATAAAAATAGATACATATTAGGATCTACCTTTTTTTTTAATAAACCACAATTTTCTCCAATTTTCATCAATTCTCAAGTATCATGCTTTTAGTACAGGGTTTAATTTGTAGAGTATTTTTTTAACTTTTAATTTTGTATTTAATTTTTTAAAATTTGAATCTAGAAAAAAAAATTATGTATACTTTTTTGTCTAAAATTCCATTCAAAAAGCCAATTTAAACGTCCAATTATTGTATGCTCTAATTTTTGCTTGTATATAGTATCAAAATTGTTATAATTATTGATTTGTAAAGAGTTGGTGTGAACTTATGATAAAAATCTATACCACATAATTGTTTAAAACATTATGCTATAATTCTTGTCTTTAATATATTTCTTAGAGAGTCTTTTTTAGTACAATAAATCTACTTGGCTGTAATAATATCTT